GCATTAGCTTTCACGTGTTCGCCTTTTATTTCGCTTCTTCTCGCATTGCCTTCCTACCCACTCCCTTCCATTCAATAAGTAAAGGCCTGTGCAAAAAGGGGGGGAATTAGAAGGATACTTCGTTCTGCTGCTGCTGCTGTTCTCTGCGGTGGTGGTGGCGGTGGTGGGGGCTCGTTCTGCTCTGAGTGTCTCTGCTTGTGTGCATGGGGGGGGAGAGAGAGAGGGACGAAGTAAGCACGGACAGAGAATAGGCATTAGGAGAGTGCGGCGGCGAGGATGCACCACAGCAACCAGGAACTCTCTGAGCCCACGATTGTGGGCGACTTCAAGCTGTACAATGTGAGCGGCTCCCGCTTTGAGGTGCCGAAGAAGTACACCCTGCTGAAGATACTCGGAACGGGGGCGTACGGCATTGCCTGCAGCTGCCTCAACGAGGAGACGAAGGAGAAGGTGTCGATCAAGAAGTGCCGGGACGTGTTCAGGGACCTGGAGGATGGCAAGCGCGTGCTGCGCGAGATAGCGATGATGCGCTTCTTTCAACACGAGAACCTCCTGCACGTCATGGACATCCTGCCGCCCATGAAAAGCTACAGCGACTTCCGCGACGTGTACATCGTCACCCCGCTGAAGGACGTGGACATGAACGTCGTGCTGCGGTCCCGGCAGGAGCTGACCGACGCCCATGTGCGTTACTTTGTGTACCAGATCCTGCGTGGGCTGAAGTACCTGCATAGCGCCGGCGTTGCCCACCGCGACCTCAAACCGGCCAACCTTGTCACGGACATTTCCTGCGAGCTGAAGATTATTGACTTTGGCCTCTCACGAAATGTCACGATGCCGTACTATGAGCTGACCGACTACGTCATCACACGCTGGTACCGGCCACCGGAGCTGCTGCTGGAGAACAACTACTACACCACGGCGGTGGACATCTGGTCCGTTGGGTGCATCATGGCGGAGATGTACACCCGCAAGCCCGTGCTGCGTGGCCGCAACACGATGGACCAGCTGCGTCTCATCTGCACGCACATTGGCAAACCACCGAGTGCGATGGTCAACAACCCCGAGGCGCTGGACAAGCTGCAGGGCCTCCCCGACGGCTCGCTGAATGTGACGGAGCTGGTGCCGGGGTTGACGGACCCGGATGCGATTGACATCCTCACAAAGATGTGGGAACTTGACCCAGCCAAGCGTAAGTCGGCAGCGGAGCTGCTGCAGCACCCCTTCCTGGCGCCTCTGCACGATGAACAGGACGAGCCGGACTGCCCAACGCTCTTCTCCTGGCCCTACGAGCAGCAGGAGATGGGCCCCGCGGCCCTGCGACAGGCCTTCTGGGAAGAGATTTGTGCCTTTAACCCACAACTGGCCACGCATCCGTCTACCGATTCCACACTGCAAGAGCAGGTGCGTACTTAATCCCACCCAAGATATATATATATATATATATATCTGGAGCTTGCTCGCTCTCTTTGTTCCTTCCTCTCTTTCTCCCATTCGCTCCCTACATGCATATTTGTATATATGCCTGTATGTATTGGGTCACAGCTGTGCAGGTGTACTTTTTTTTTTTGTCGCTTGGTGTTGTTTGTTGGCTCTTAGGTTATTTTTGTCGTCATTTTTGCTTCAGTGTGTGTGTGTGTCTATTGAGCTGTTGCTGTCACTCTGGCGTCTGCGCTCTGTGCGCTCCCCCCGGTTTTGGCGCGGCAGCCGCCAGACGGCACTACAGGCAGCAGCGGTAGTAGTAGCAGTAGCAGCAGTGGCGGTGGTGGTGGGGTGGGGGAGTCGCAGTTCCGCCGCCTCGCCCCCTCTGGTCTCTCTTTTTTCTTTTCTTTTCTTTGCGTGCGTGTGGGCGAGAGGGAGGGGGGCGAGGCGGCGACGCAGCGCTGAAGCAAAACAAAAAACCAAAACAAAAACAGAAAAAAAACAACATGAGGAGGGGGGAAAAAACGCAAATAGGTATATATATATATACATGTATGTGTATATATATACACCCACCGTGGGAACTAAACGGGATGCGGGGAGGGGGAGGGATCGAAGTGAAAAATCCGCTTCTACTTCTTCTGGTTGCTGCTTGGCGGCTTTCTCGCCCCTCCCCCTTCATTTTTTTTTCCCTTCTTTGTGTGCGTGCGTGTGTGCGTTTGATTCGTGGAAGTGTTGCGGGGCACACGGGCGGAAGTTGGGGGGAGGGGGAATAAAAGTCAAAGTAAAGCAAAATAAAAGGAAGCTGAATTCCCCACTGCGGGGCACCCTTTTTTTTTAAGTTCTCGTTCACTTTTGAGCGCCTTTAGGCTTCCGCTGCGGCTGCCGGGATAACGGGGCGCGGCCACACGCACACGCACGCAGCGGCGTACCCCCGGCGGGCCTCGCGTTCCACCGCCGCTGGCATCAGCCGTTGGTTTCCGCCGCCGCCTCCGTGTGTGTGCGTCCGGGGCGGCGGCGGGAGCGAAGAATCTGCGCGTGGGGGCTGCACGGGGGGGGGGGGGTTCTTTTCTTTTTTTGTCCGTCTGTTCCTCTCTCCCTCTGCGGGCGGCGGGGCGACTGTGGGTGGCGGGGAAGAGAGGAGGGAGAGAACGAAAAGGAGAGCGTGCGTGCCGCCCCAATTATTTGTGCCGCCGCAGCGGGAGCGCCGGGGCGCAGGCGACAGGGGCGGCGGAGGCGGAGGTGCGGGGAAAAACGGAATCGTGGGGAGGCGTGAGCGGCGGCAGCGGCGTGCGTGCCGTGCCGGCAGGGTGGGCGGCTGTGGTGGGTGGTGGAGAATGGATTCATAGGGAGAAGAAGAAAAAAACTGCGTGCGTGCGTGGGTTTAGGCTGGAACGAGCAGGCAACGGAGGGAAGACGAAAAAACACGAGGGTGGGTGAGGGCGCACCCGCGCTCCTGCGTGTAGGCCCCCCACGCATGCGCACCTACACTTATAGTCATTGACGTACGTCGACGTATATATATATACGCACATTTGTTTAACCTGCTTCACTCGCTCTCTCTCTCTCTCTCCCTCTCTCTGTGCGAGTGGGTGCGTCCGTGCCCGCCCGCCTTCCTGCGTGCGCGGAGGGTTGTCTCTGTTGCTCATCTCTCTGCATGCTTTCTACGGCGGCTCCTGCGTTGCACCTTTCCCTCCTTCGCCTCCTTGCGGCGGTGGACTTTGCGCAGATAAGAATATATACACATAGAAGGTACATACGGAGCGGCCGGCGCCCAGCCACAGCTCGTGCCAGTTGGGACGCCCAGCCGTTTGACTTTTGTGTGTGGGGGAGAGAGATAGAGAGACAGAGAGGGAGCGAGCCATAGAGGAATCGAGAGGCTTTCCGCGGAGTAGTCTGTTTTTATAGACGCCTTCCTTTGGGGGGCAGCGGGCGTGCCTGAGCCTTCGACCCCCTGTGGAAATGATCTTGATGGCAGGAGACAGGGGTACTGGACGGCGGAAACGCCACTGCGGGAATGCCGCGGGGTGTGCCCCGCCACATAGAACTGAGCAGCCGGCGCCGGGGAGAGGAAACGGCAGCAGCAGCAGCAGCAGCAGCAGCAGCGGAAGAAGAGGAAGCAGCGGAATAAGTGGCGGTGTTACTAGCAGCAGAGGCAGAGCAGCGGCAGCGGCATTCGTTCGGGCCGTGGCTGTGCTGGTGGCGTTGCTACTGCTGGGCGTGGCGAGCCTCGGGGATGTGGCCGAGGCCGCCATCACGTTCGTGCCGACCAACGTTGCGCAGCTCTCACTGTACCAAACCGCGCAGATGCGGTTCGACAGCAACCCGTTCATCGGCGACCCGCGGATCCGCGACGGCGATACGGTTTATTTCGTCAAGGACGTTGCAGGCGTCAGCTGCAGCGACAGCGGCAGCGGGGACCCCGATAACACGTTTGCCGTCACCCCGCTGAACGGCCTCGGCCTGATAGGCTACGCGACGATTGTCGTGCGGAGCTCCGTCTTCTCCTTGGACGCCTCGTACCTCATCTGCTACATTGCGCAGGGCACCGCCTTCCTGATTGCGCGCGCCAAGGACAGCGGGCCCCCCGCGCTGCTGGTCTGGCCCGCCGTGTACAACCGCCTCGAGATGCAGCCGCCGACGGCGTCCGGCGGGCTGGGGCTGGTGTCGCTCGCCGTGAGCGAGGCGGCCCAGGCGGGGCGCCCCGTCAATCAGGGGCTGACGGGGGCCAACACCATATTCCTCCTCCCGTGCCCCGCGGCGGGCGGCGGCGGCGACTGCGGCGGGCTCGACAAGCTGCCGCAGCTCTGCGCCGGCAATCCGTACGGCGGCGTTCAGCTGAGCGACCTGCGCGGGGCGGGGACGACGTCGGTCACGGGCAGTTTCACTGTGCCGTACGTCCCGGACCGCAACGGCTACGCGGTGTGCGTCCCCTACTGCTTCGACGCCGCCGTGGGCTGTGGCGTGAGTGTGGCAATGTCCTACACCGCCGTGACGGTGCCGCCTCTCACGTTTGCCGCGGCAAACCCGCTCACTTACGAACTCACCCCCGCCGCGCCCCAGGCGCGTGAGAAGGGCTATATGCTGCTGCGAGGCACCGAACTGACGGCGAAGGACGAGCTGACGGTCATTCGGGGCGGGAGTACGTGTGCGTCAAAGGCCTCGCCGTTGCTGGAGAACTTAGAGCTTGGCTCGCTCGCGGCTGTCAGCGCAGAGGTGGTGAACATCACTTTTGTCGCGCCGGAGCTCATCCCGCGTGCCATGCGCGGCACTGTGTGCTACCGCCGCGCGGGCAACGCGTTGTGGTCCACCGTCCTGCGGGATCCGCGGGCGGAGGTGGACGACTTTGTGATTGAGGTGCTGCAGCCGACCGGGTTTACGGTGGCCCCGGAGTCGCCCTACACGGGGGAGCCCCTCAGCCTCTTCTTCAGAGGCACGGGCCTGGACGCGGCGCGGGATGCGGCGATTTTGACCACCTCCCTGGACTGTGACGCCGCCGCGGCGGCGACGACGACGTTTGAGTGCCCGCTCACCGGCGGCAGCGCCCCGCAGTGCACGGCCCTGATAGACCCCCCGACGGACCTCGGGCTGACGCTCCACGTTTGCTACCGCAAGGAGGGGGTGGCCAACTACGCCCGGGTCCGGGGCCACGTCGTCACGCAGAACCGCAACCCCACCTACAACCTCAGCCCGTACCCGCTCTACGCCGGCCAGCGCGGGACGCTGACCTTCCTCGGGCATGGCCTCTCCCTCGCCGACAGCGTCCGCTTCATCGCGAGCAGCGCCACCTGCGGCGACGGCAGCCCCGTCTCGACCTTCGCCATCGCCAACGGGGTGGAGGTGGCGGCCGGTGAGGTTTACAAGTACGACGTGGTGGGCACCGGCAAGCAGTGCCTGCAGGTATGCTACCGCATCTCCGGCTCCGTCACCTGGTCCGTCGCACGCCCGCAGGTGATGACGCCCGTCTCAGACGCGTGCCCCGCGCAGGACCTGTACGTGAGCGTCTACGGCCTGCGCTACGCCGTGCCGAACACCCCCGTCACCGCCAAGGAGACCGTCACCTTAACGCTCTCCTTGATACTGCCTAGCACCCTGAAGCTCGTGCGCATGGATGACGCCTGCGCCGTGGCGTTCTGCACGCACGCCGGCGCCCTCACCACAGCGTGCGAGGTGAGGCAGGATACGGACGACTTTGTGTCGGAGTTAAGCGGGAAAAAGGCCAACCTACTGGCTGGCGCGGCGAACACAAGCTACATCCTCTGCGCCGCGAGCGGCGGAGACCCGTACATTCCTGTGCTGCCGAATGGTCAGCAGGAGGAGTCCACGAGTTTCGCGTTTGTGACGGCCGCCGCGAACCCGGTGCTGGGGAGCCACGCCCCGCAGCAGTGGCGCGTCGCGTTTGCGTCGCTCCGCACAACGTTTGACGGCGCCAGCCTTGACAGCGACACAGATGCGGTGCGGGCGCTCTTGGGCGGGTCGTTGCTCTCCGCCACGGCCCGCGTGTGCCCCTCTGCGGGTGCGGTGGTGCAGACGGCGTTGGTCGCACAGGTGCTGCCGGGCGCCGGCACGACATCCACCACGGCGGCGTACAGCCTCTCCCACCTGCGGCACACGGGGGACGAGGTGCACTTCTGCTACCTCTGGGACGCCGGCAGGCGTGTGACGTACGCAGGCTCCCTCGTCTTCGCGGCGCGCCTGCCGTCGGAGATGACGAGTTCGCCGCCGCCGCCCGGCGGCTTCCGCGCCGGCGCGCCCGTATCACTGAACTTCACCTCCAACACCACCGCGCTGCAGGCGCAAAGCGACATCTTGTTTTTCTACCGCTTTGACGCGGTCTCGCACCTGGGCACCGGCTGCTACTGCGGCCTTGAGTGTCCGGCGAAGGCGCGTGTGACGTACCCAGCCGTGCCGCTGGTTCCCGGGGCCACCACCGCCGCCGTGTCGTGGACGAACCCGCAGGGTTTTGACAACTACGACTCCGACTCCGTCTACGTCGTCTGCTACAACGTCACCGGGGCCCAAAGCGCGACGTACATGGGGCAACTTAGCGTTGGCATGGCGCAGCCCACGTACTACACTGCCCAAACCGCGGGAGACACCAACCGCGTTGGCAGCCCCATCACGCTGACGGCCACGCAGCTCTGCGTCGGCGCGAGCTGCCGCACTTTGAGCACCAAGGACGATATGCGGCTCATTCCGGCGACGAAGACGTGCCTGGATCTGGTCACAGGTACGGAGTTCGGCGACGTCGTCGAGCCCATTGGCAACGCGACCGTCACGGGGACGTCGTACGTTCAGCGGGTGGTGGTAAACCTGGCGGGTGACTACCGCGTGTGCTACCGGCTGGACGCCGCCTACGAGGAGCTGACCTCCGACGTTCAGCGCCCCCCCACCCCGCTGCGTGTGGACGCGGCCGATCCTGTAAGCTTTGCCGCCACGCCTGCGGCACCGTCGGCGGGGCAGCTCATCTCGGTTCAGTTGTCGTGCTCCGACGGGCGCTGCAGTGTCTGCAGGACGCTGCGGCTGGTGCCGGGCAACATGGCCTCCTGCTGGGTGGCTGTGAGTGGCACCCTCGCCAGCGACACATGCCTGACGACGAAGGTGTTGGGGTTTCCCAGTCAGTACCCGCCGCAGGGCACCTTCACCGCCTGCTACGGGGCCGCGATGACGAACAGTCGCCGGGTGCCAGGGGCCCTGGAGGTGGCGGCCGCCAACCCTGCCACCTTTACGGCGTCCAACGTGGACATTTTCGTGAATCAAGACTCTGCGGTCACGCTGACGCTGGTGGGTACCGGACTGACATCGCAGGATCAGATCTTTCTGCTCACGACGAAGGGCTACTCCTGCCATGACCTTGCGACCAACGTGCTGCAAAGCAATGGGACCCTGCGTCTGTGGTTTGCGCCAAGCATACACCCGAACCCGATAACGGTGGACGCCGCCGGGACCGGCGCGACGTGGGTTGTCTCGGATCGCACGCACCGCTTTGGGGAGGGGCTGCTTTTCGACCCCTCCTTCTGTGACAACCCCGGGGTGTCCTGCAGCATGCGCCTCTGCTACATGCGCAGCGGCACCAGCTGGGCCCCTGTGCCGATTGAGGCGGAGCCGGATCTCCGTCTGCTACCGCCAAACCCTCTGAACGCCTCCTTCGACAGCTACCCACTGGCTGTCGGGATGTACTCGGCGGTCACCGTTTTTGGACAAGGGCTGACCGCCGCGGATACCGTGGTGGTGCGAAGGAACACCTGCGGTGGGGTCGCCGTCACGGTTCCCGTCGGCACGGCAACCGTCAGCGCGGATGGGACGCAGTGGGTTGGAGTCGTGCGCTTCACCGCGGCGGGGGCGGTGAACTACGCGGTCTGCTACACCTTTGCGGCCGCCTCGACGGAGATTGGGGTGGTGCGGGCGGGGCGGCGCAGCGTGCTTGTGGTGCTGGAGGAGTTGTACTACCTGTACGACGCGGCCAACCTCACCGCGGGACACGTGCTCTCGAGGTACGAGGCGCTCATGCTGGGCGCTTCCTTCGCCAAGGCCCCGGAGGACAGCCTCGCGGCGGCGGCGGTTATCGCGGCGGACACCGAGTGCAACTACATGCCGTACTACGAAAAGACCGGCCTTGACCAGGAGTTCGCGGTGCTGCTGGAGCTGCAGCGGCTCGCGCCGCCGTACTTTGGCGCGCGCTTCACGCTGCCGGCGGACACCTACGCGCTGTGCCTGCAGGTGGATCTGGGCCTCTTCCGCGTCACGCGGAGCGTCGGCGGGGCGTCGATGACCACCACCGCGGCGAACCCGTCGGGCTACACCGCGTGGCCCGAGCTCCCGTTTCCCGACCAGCCCTTCACCCTCACATTCCCCCTGCTAGACGGGAGCGTGGGCGCGGCGGACACGGTGGCGGTCATCGACGGCGGCCTGTACGACTGCGGCTACCGCAACACCACCATCGCCGCGGAGTATCCGGTGGCGCCCGACCCCTCCGCCGGCGCCCACGTGGGGGTCGTCGCCGAGGCCACGCTACCGGCGCAGATGCTCGGCAAGGCGCTGACCGTCTGCTACCGGCGCAGCGGGGGCACCTTCGCCACCGTCCCCCGCGACACCCTCGTCGACCGCAACTTCCGCCTGAGCCCACAGATACCGAGTGAGTGGACGTGGGCCCCGGTGCAGCCGCAGGCCGAACGCACGCTGCTCATCACATTTCTTGGCGACGAGGCTCAGCCCGACTTCCTGCAGACGACGGACCGCGCCGCGCTGGTGGCGGTGCCCGCGGGGGGACAAGAACCGACGTGCGAGGCGGCAGCCGCGCTGGTCAGCGGGGAGCTCGATAAGGCGGGGGCCAGCACGACGTGGACCATCGCCGCCAGCCTGACGCAGGAGGGGACGTACATCGTTTGCTACACGTCGACCCGAAACGGGGCCCCGGTGCGCGTCGACCGCCCCCCGCTGCTCACCATCTACCCCCTGCAGTCGCCCAAGGGCATCTTCAAGGGCACGGGCGGCCCCGTCAACGTCTTCAGCGGGGAAAGGTTTTATTTGATGTTTGACACGTCCGTGCCGCTGGACCCCGTCCTCTCCTACGACAGCGCCGCCAGCGAGAAGGATGCGGTGCTGTTCTCGACCGAGCGCGACTGCTCCGCGCCGCTGCCTGCGTCGCAGGTGGCCACCATTCCCGCCGCGTTTCAATACAAGCCTGTGGTGGTGAAGAACCCCTCCGGCATCGTCGCCCCCTACCTGAACCTCGTCCTGGCTACCGGCGCGAAGGAGCTTGTGGTCTGCATGCGGCGGACGGGCCGGCACGAAGGGGAGGCGTTTTACAACTACGAGATGATTGGCGACTTGACGGCCCCTGCGACGGTGCGGGTGAGCGAGGCCCCGATTACAACCTACGCGACTGACCCGCAGCACCCGCGGGCGTGGGTTCCGTCGACTGTCGTGACGCCGACGTACGGCGGCGACTACGTCGTCGGAGACTTCTCCCAGCTCTTCTTCGCCAACAGCACCGCTGCAGGCGGCGTTGTGGATGACTGCTACCGCCCGACGGCGCAGGAGGCGGCAGGAACGCCGGCCGAGGGCGTCGTCCTGCTGGACACGACGCTGCAGGTGGAGCCTTCAACGGGCCTCATGTTGCTTCCGTTTCCGCGCGCTGGCCCTTTTCAGTTGTGTCTGCAGCTCCACGGCGCTACGCAGCACGCCGCCTCTGTGCACGCCGCCGCGCTGCAGGTGCTGAACCCCTCCCCCACGATGTACGTTGTGCCGGAGATCATTGCGGTGGGGGCGCCCTTTCAGATGGCCTTCCGGGCGCTGGACGACATCTTCGCCCCCACCGTGACGGGGAACGTGGCGGAGGTGTTTGTGGCCCCGGCGGAGGTGGTGGACGGGGAGGCGGCGCCGGACTGCGCGGCGGGGGTGCCCCCCGCCGGCGGTGGCGCGACGCGGTTTGACAGCTTCACCGCGGAGAGCGACACCTACGCGACGGTGCAGCCCCGCATCGAGGAGAAGGGGTACTTCTACGTCTGCTTCCGCGTCTATGACGCCACGGCGTCCTTCGCGGTGCCAAACGCGGCGGGCGGCTTCGTCTTCTCCGTCGGCCTGACGGGGGCGCAGAGCTACGCGGTGGCCCCGTCCCCGGCGTACATGGGCGAGCTGCTCAACATCACCATCCTCGGCAACGTCCTGAGCAGCGCGGATCACGTGAAGCTCGTGGCGGTCACCGGGGACACGCCGAGTGCGAACTACAGCGCCAGCTGCACGGCGGCGGCGCCGGACGCCGACGCCGAGGAAATCCACGGGGCAGCGGGCAGCGAGGTCGACGCGGTGAGCCCCACGCAGGCGCAGTACACGCCGCGGGTGAACGCCACCGGCGACTTCATCCTGTGCTACCAGAGCGCTGCGCTGGCTGACGCGTGGGTGTGGGTCTCGCAGCTGCACAGCTTTAGCGTCGGGCCGCCGCACCCTGACGCGTACGTGCTGCAGCCGCTGCCGTTCTACGCGGCGGAGGTGGGTCAGCTGCGCATCCGCGACAGCCCCAACACCGCCCTACTCACGGACGCGGATGAGATTAGGCTGGTGCAACGTGGCAGCGGCGTCGCCGGGTTTGACTGCTCTGCGGCAGCTGCGGCGAGTCCGGACATCGGGCTCCTGGAGCGCGTCGCGGCCATGAGCAACGACACCGATGCCACGTACCAACTCTGCGCGCTGACGACGACGCAGGTGACGGTGTGCTACCGACTGAAGCGCGGTGCGTGGGCGGAGGTCCCGCGGCGCGTGCCTCCCCCGTCCTACCTCTTTGAGCCCGCCGTGTTTGTCGCAAGCCCCTTTGCGGGTCCCACAGTCACCCCGTCCGCGCCACGCCCGTATGAGCCGTTTGTCCTGGCCTTTACCAGCAGCGCGGCAGACGTGGCGGTGAACTACGTCGGCTTCGCGCCCGCCCCGCAGCAGCTCTGCACGCCAAACCCGCCGTATGTGCAGCCGGTGTATTACGTGAAGAACACCACCGTGGCAAACACCTTCACCGTCGCACTTCCGGCGGCGGGCGAGTACCAGTTGTATTTGGGCCCGCACGCGGCCGAGGGGGACCCGCGCATCGCCCACGGCCGCACCCTCACCGTGGCGCCGTGCGACCCGTGCAGCTTCGCACCGTCGTACTCCTTTATTGAGAATCACGTGGCGTTGCGGTTTACAAGCAGCGGCGGCCCCAGCTTGGGCCTGCAGGACACCGTGCGCCTCGTTCCGGTCAGTCAGGGGTCAAGCGGCAACCCGTGCGCGGCCCCAAGCGGGGCCTTCGCCTCCCTCACGCTGGAGGCCAACGCGACTGTGAGCACAAGCGCCGCCACCGTCTTCAACCTCTTCACCGGCGACACGGACGCCTCGTGTGGCGACTACTACCTCTGCTACCGCAAAGGGGCGGCGGGCGACGCGAACTACGCCCTGCTGACGGACACAGCGGGGCAGCTGTTGAACTTCTCCATCTACCCCGCCCTTCCGACGCAGGCGGTGGCGTGTGAGAGCCACCCCGCTTTTCTGGAGACGGTGACGCTTAACTTCTCGTTTCCCGCCGCCGCGTACCCGAAGCTCGCCTTCTCCGCCCAGGACGAGTTTCTGCTGCTGCCGCCCAACGTGAGCTGCGGCGCCGCGGCCGCCGCCACCGCGCCGGGGGTGCTGCACCCGGTGCTTCTCACCCTCGTGGGGAGGGGGCTGGCGGTGTGGCTCGCGCATCTGCCCGGCGGCCGCGCGGCGACGCGGTACGAGATTTGCTTCCGCCTGGCCGCCGACGCCGTGGCGCGCGTGGTGGCGCCCTCCACCCTCGACGTCGCCCCGCAGGACCCGGCGCAGGTGGCGACGGAGCCGTGGCTCATCCAGCCGGAGACGGCGCAATTCACGATGCAGATCTACGGCGACCGGCTCTCGGCGAAGGATGACGTGTACGTCGTGGACGCCTCGCAGCGGTGCGACGAGCGGTGCGGGGAGACGCTCGCCCCGCCCCAGTTGGCCTCCGCCGTGTACACCAAGACGCTTCGAAACGCCACACTGATGGAGCTGGAGTTTACGCAGCCCCTCAACGAGGAAGTCGTGATGGCGCTCTGCTACCGCCGCGCGGGGCGGCTGCTGGTGCGCCTCGCCGTCTTCTTCGTTGGCAACACGAACCCGGAGAAGTACGACACGGACTTCGTGCCGCGCCTCGGCACGCGCCCGACGCTCACCTTCCACGGCGTGGAGTTGACCCCGCAGGACCGCGTCTTTATTCTTCCGGAGGGGATGAACTGCGAGGCGAGCTACGCGACGGCGCTTGGGTCGCTTCGCGACGTTGCGGCGGAGGGGACGCGCAGCCGCTTTTACGTCCCCCTCGCCGCCCCGGTGGCCGTGGGCCCCTACGCGGTCTGCTATCTCGTCAACGGCAGCGTCGGCTACGCGCTCATGCCGGCGGCGCTGGAGGTGCAGGCCGGGGGAGCGTCGCAGTACCGGACGAGCAACACGCCGATGCGGGCACGGGCGACGGTGGTCACCTTTGACTACGCCGGCGGCGTTGGCGACACGGCGATGATTGCCTGCGCCGGCTGCAGCTGCTGGGACGGAGCCGCCGCGGTGCTGCCGTACGGCACCCCGGAAGGGAACGCCACGGAAACGCAAAGGGAGATTGCGCTGCGGGTGGGCTTCGACGACACCGCCGCCTACGCCGTGTGCTACCGTGTGTCTGACAGCGGCTACGCGCAGGTGGGGGCGCTGCCGCTGCGGCCGGCGGAGAACGCCCCGGACGCCGACGCTGTGGCGCCAACGCCGACGTATCAGGGGCAGCGACTGCTGCTCACCGTGACGGGCTTTGAGCGTTCGCCGGCCAATAGCTCGTCAACGGGGGAAGACGCGAGGGAGAAGGAGGAGGAGAAGCAGCGGCAGCAGCAGGTTAGCAGCGACGTCCTCCTCCTTTCCCTCCACCGCGCCCCGACGACGGAGGACGCGGCGATGCTCGTGACGGTGGACCGCCGTTGCTGGGACACCCCCGCCTTGCAGGCAGCCGGCATCCTCGCCGGCCCCTCCCTCGTGGCGGAGGTGACCGCCAACGAGAGTGTCTGGCGCGGGCACGTGCCCTCCTTGGGCCCCGGGGCGCTGCCCCTGAGCAGCTTCCCCACGTCCTTTACGCTCTGCTACCGCGAGGGTGGGCAGGATGAGTTTGTCACGGTGCCGTTTCCCTCCGACCCGTCGCTGATGCTCCCCGCGGACCCGTCCAGCTTCGCCACGGTGCCCGCCAGCGTCTCTAGTGGCATGCTTCACGTTGGCATGACATTCCCTGGCGCCGCCGACGGGGACACCGCCTTTATTGTGAAGTACGCCGGCGACGTGCTGGAGACGAACCACGCCTGCGACGATGCGACCTCGGTGGTGCTGACAACCGCCGGGCCAACGCAGCCGTCGTACATCTTCAGCCTCCCACCGCTGCTCACGGCAAGCTCGGTGGTCGTCTGCTATGTGCGTGCGGGGGCCACCGTGGCGGAGGTGCCGCGGCTGCTCCCGCTCGTGGCACCGAACCCCGGCGGGTACGTGATAAATACTTCCACGGCGGAGGCGCGGCAGCGGCAGTACTTGCGCCTTACGCTCACCGGCGCCGGCCTTGACCCCGCCACCGACGCGGTCGTCTTCACCGATGCGTCATGCGCCAGCAGTGGGACGTGGCCGCCCGTCTCTGCCGCGGCTGTGCGCCGCGCCAGCGCTCTCGCCGCCGCCCCCGGCAGCAAGCAGGGAACCGCCCTGACGCTGGTGGCCCAGTTTATCGAGACGGTGCCGGCGAAGCTGTTCGTTTGCTACCGACGTGGGGAAGTCTGGAGTGAGGTGGGGACGCCGTTCGCGCTCGTCAGCCCTGTCCCTGACAACCTGACGCTTAGCCCGCCCGTCGGCCTCGCCCGCGTTGGGCAGCACGTGCAAATCGAACTCCACGGCGCCGACGGCAAGGGGACTCTGGCGGCGGCGGCGGTGATCTCCGCCCTTGACTCCAGCCCCGAATCGTGGTGCCAGAACTTCACCGCGGCGAAGGTGCAGGAGCCGCTGCTGCGGGTCGTCAACGACTCACTGCTCGAAGTTGCGGTGTGGCGCACCGCCGGCCCGGCGCGCGTGTGTGTCCGCTACGGGGATGCGCCGTGGTCGGATGTGGCGCTGACGGCCACCGGCGCCGTGCAGGAGGTCGTGGTGGGGGGCCCCAACCCGTCGTCCATGCGGCCCTTCCCCAACCCGCCGCGCGTGGGCCAGCAGGTGACTCTGACGTTTCAGCTCGAAGAGGCGCCCAGCGCGGGGGACCGCGTCCGCGTCACCCTTCCGGAAGCCGATGTAGCGTGCGAGCAGCTGCAGCCTGCGCCAGGCTTTCCGAAGGCCGTGCCGGTGGTGCCTGACGCGGAGGCAAAGACGGCGAATGTTACGCTCATCGATGACACGGACCCGTTTGCGTACCGAAGCTTCAGTCAGGCAGGGCAGTTCCAGATTTGCTACTACAGTGCGGCCGCGCAGGCGTGGAGCCCCGTGGGGGGCTCGATGGAGACGAGCGTTCTGCAGGTGCTGCCGCTCGCGCCCGGCAGCTGGAGCTCCGCGACTGGCGCGTCGCCCGTCTTTGCTGAGCCGTTTGTGCTGCACTTTGAGGACGCCTCCGGCAGCTTGGATGCCTCCGGCGACGCTGCCTGGGCGGCGCCCCCGAGCCAGTCCTGCGGTGTCCCGCCGGCCGACTGCACAGAATGCATTGTGTTTGAGTTCAACGCGGCGGCGTCTACGGCGGCGCGGGTCACGACAAAGCCGGCGGTCTCTCTCATTCTGGGCGAGTTTAACGTTTGCTACCGGCTCGCCGACGCCACGGCGGCGCTGCTGTTGCCGGCGCTGGAGGTCGTGGCGGGCGACATCCGCTGCGTCGAGCAGGCGAGCGTGCGCGTGGGTCAGGAGCAGAACATCACCTTCGAGAAGAAGCCGGGCGTCGAGGTGGCGCACGACAGCTGGCGCGTCTCATTCTTCGGCACCAGTGCGACGAGCTGCGGCAGTGGGTACGACCCGGACTTTGTCGAGGGCCGCGCCCGGCTCGTGGGCAGCACCGACACCAGCGTGACGTACGGTGTGGAGTGGCCCGTGGCGATGGTGAGCGAGCGCTACCTCATCTGCTACACGCACGACGGCGTCGCGCGGTCCGTCTGCACCTGCGCGCAGCTGCAGGCGCGGTCGGGCGAGTGCTACATCTCGACGCTGGAGGCCTCCCCGCGCTGGTTTGTCCCCAGCCCGGACCCAACCTACGTGGGGCAAACGGTGCAGCTGCGCCTCACGCTGGACCCCGCCATGGCAAAGTACCCCGTCACCGATGTGAGGCTCGTCACGTACGTGGACCCGCTCACCGTCTGCGACGACCCCGCGGCGTTCCCATTGCGTGGGACGATGACCGCGGCGTCTGCCACGCTGTACGTGTTTGAGTTCAACTACCCATACACGCAGGCGCCGGGGACGTTTATCGTCTGTGCGCTCTCGCCGACGCTCTCCGCCTACTACGCCCGCGTCGGCACGGTGCTCCCGGCGACGTCGTCGAACACGTTCTCGGTGCGGCCGTACATGGCGCTGACGACGCTCCCCAGCGCCCCCGACCTCATCCGCGCGATGCAAACGCTCCGCCTGACCTTCACGCACATCTCCTCCGCGGCGGACGACGTGGTGGGCGCCGGGGACCGTGTCACGTTTGTCGCCTCGCCGGAGGACTGCGTGGAGGCCGTCATTGACCACACCCCCGCCGCGACGGTGATGCGCCTCTTCGTGGCGGACGACACCTCCTTCGCGACCGTCCCCGCGCCGGTGCTGGCGCCCAGCAACGTGACGCGCTCCTCCCTGGTGGATGTCACCTTCGACCCCGTCCGCGGACTCGGCGAGCATGTCGTCTGCTACAAGCTCAGCCGCGGCACCTGGGCCCCGGTGCGGGGCACGCTGCATGTGCTTGCCGCCGCCGTGGAGAAGTGCGAGCTGCCGCCGTCGACGTCGAGCCCCGGCAGCAGCGGCGGCGCGAGCGGGCGGGCGATGCAGTACCTGCGGACCATCATTGTGAGCACCGAGGAGACGAGCGGGCTGCGCGGGCCGGAGGACGCGGTGCGGGTGGTGCCGCAGTCCTCCCCGTGCATCGACGACGCCAGCGCCGTCTTCCTCTCCGGCGTCAGCATCGTGGACAAGGAGAAGACCGCCGTCATCGCCTTTGCCCCGAGTGCGGGGGAGTTCAAGATCTGCTACCGCATCGGCGGGGCGCACAGCACTACCGCCAACTGGAGCCCTGTCTGCACAGGACTGGAGCTCACGGCGCCGACGCCGACCGGCGCCTTCACCGGGTGCCTGCGCCTGGGGCAGTGCCTCACCGTGACGGCGTCGCAGCGCAGCGGGTTTGGCTTTACCCTGACCGACACCTTCCGCTTCGTGACTGGCGCGGACCAGTGCATTTACGCCAACGACACGCAAACGGTCTCGGACGCCATTACTGTGGGGGATGCGGCGCAGACGCTCGCAGGAACGCCGGTGACGAGCATCGGCCCCACATTTGTCCTTCCCGCCGCTCTGCTGGGCGCCGGCAGCACGACGTTCCGCCTTTGCTACAAGGACGCCGTGGGGAACCAGTTTGCCGTCCCGCTCGACGCCGAAGACCCTGACCGCTCTGAGTTTGCGGTGGCCCCGCGCCTGCTCGCGTCGGTGCAGACACCGGGCAGCAACACCGCGGGGCAGCGTGTGCTTATGCTCTTCACTGCCGCACAAACTTCGCCGGGCGGGGCTCTAACGCCGTTTAGCGCGCTGCCGCCCATCCCCTTCTCGCCTGGCCCTGTGTACGACGGCAGCTTCGATGCGGCCACGGCGCTGCACCTCTCGCCCGCCCTTGCGTACCGCGACGGCCGCTGTTTTGTGGCGGACCCCACGACGTACGGCGTCTACGGCAACCGCACGCAGGTGCTGGGCTCCTTTGACCCCGTGCAGGGCGGCGCATACGTCGCCTGCTACAGGGCGGTGGGCTGCAGCGTCGAGGACGTGGGGCCGCTGATGCAAGTAGGTGGGCCCAACCCCGCGTCGTTTGCCGTTAGCCCGTCCACGCCGCGTCGTGGGCAGCTGCTGCGCGTGGCGTTTGTGCGCAACAGGGAGGACCCGGACGCCCTGCCGCTGTCACCCGGCGAGGACCGTGCCGCGGCGCAGGTGAACCTCCCCTCCTGCTGGACGCTCCCCGCGGACGCCGGGCAGCGCGTCGACGGCACGGCGGATACCACCGACATCACCGGTGTCCTCTTCGCTGCGCAGCCGCCGTATGCCTCGAGCGTGTCTCAGATGCGCCTCTGCTACGAGCTGCAGCATGGCTCCTGGTCAAATCTTCCCGCCGGCGTCGTCCTGCTGCAGCCGGCCAATCCCATCAGTTTCACGGTGCAGGACGCGCCAGCGCGGGTGATGCAGCTGAACTACATCGAATTCACGGGCAAGTCGCTCGGTGCGATGGACCGGGTGAAGGTCATTGCAACGTCGAGCTCCTGCCCCGACGCGTCCGTCCCTCCGAAGGGAATCGTCTCGCATGCGTTTGGCACCGGCGCCGCCATCCCGGGCACCGCCGATGGATGGACCGTGACAAATGCCACAGCGAGGAGCGCCATGATAAACATAAGCAGCACCGAAACAGGCACGTTTAGCGTGTGCTACAGGCTCGCCGCGGACACCGTCTGGACGCGCGTGTACGGCGACCTCGTCATCGACGCGCGTGACCCGGCGGAGGTCGTGCAGACGCCGGCACACGCGCTGGAGGGGGAACTCTTCACACTCAACTTCACTGCCGCCGGTGAGGCAGCCGCGTTGTCGGCGAGCGACCAAGTTGCCTTGTACACCGGCGACGTCCCCTGCCTCGCCCCTGGCAAGGCGCCGGACGTTATTATCACGTCGCCCTCACGCACGGATTTGTTGCCGAGAAATTTGTTCTTTCAGATTGCCGCCGAGACGCGCGGGGACCACACGCTGTGCTACTGGAAATCTGACGGCCGCAGCATTGTTTGGGGCTTTGGCACAGTGGTGATTGGGCCCAACCCGCTGAACTACACCACAGTGCCCGCCGCCGCCGCGCTGCGCAGCAACCAACTGGTTAGTGCCGTATTCTGGGGGTTTGGCCTTATTGCGGACACGCAGGGGGGAAAGACGGATCGGGTGAAGCTGATACCCTCCGAGGCTGCCCAGACGGATGGGGCCTGCCAGACGGTCGCGTCGGCGGCGGGCATCGAGTACTACCCGCTGGTTGCCAACGGCACGCTGTCGGTGCAGGTGTTCCGCTCCCCTCCCCGCGCTGCGAGCGACTACTGGGTCTGCTACAAGCTTGACGGGGGGCAGTTTCACGTCATGCCGGGGGCCGCCCTGGCGCTGGGCGCGGCCGACCCCTACGCTGCGACGGCGTCGAAGAGCGGCGACGTCCTCTGGGACGGCGAGATGGATACTTGGACGATTAGGAGCACCCAGCCGCCTGTGGCGGGGGCCCTTGCCTTTTACAGCGTGGAGCAGTGCAATGACTTCCCCTACTACGTGCACCCGACGCCCTCGCCGGCGCAATTCCCTAACGGCGTCGCTGTTGTTCGCGACGGCGTCGCCCAACTCCGCACCGGCCCCGCAGGCGATGGCGGCGTCACAGTCGCGCTCTGCTACTACGCCGCGGGGGCGATCACGATGTTGTCGGGGTCCGCGGTGCGGGTGGTGCAGGGGGTTCCGCCGCCGCTGGCCGCGCCCGTCCCCGCCACGGCGCTTCAGGCGTTTCAGTTCAACCTCACCGTCGTCCCCACGCCACTTGACTACGTGGTGCTGGTGGCGCACCCGGAGGCCTGCGTCGGGCTGACGGCGCCGGCAGTCACCAGCGACGTCTTTGTCGACGTCCTCGACGCCGGCGGCCACGTTGTGGTCACGTCCGCCGTTGAAACGGCGGGGACGTTTTACATCTGCTACTCCCACCGCATCGGCCGCTGCGGCGCGGGCGCCACCGAGGAGTGCGCCCGCGTCGTCGGCACGGTGGAGGCGGCCGCCGCCAACCCCTCCAACTGGACCATCACGCCCGCCACTGTGTTCACGTCGGATGAGGTGGAGATTACGCTGCTGCGTCCGGCCGACGCCGCCGCGAGGGCGCTGGAGACGCTTTGGCTCACGCCCATTCACCCCGAGGCGGCCGCCACGATGAAGCAGGTGGCGGCGGCGTGCATACGGACCATGACCGGCGGGGACCGCATTGAACTGCGGCCGAAGCCGCATCAGAGTGACGTCTGGACGGCGCGGCTGGACGTGGTGGCGGCCTACGCCCTCTGCTACATCTCGAAGGATGCCGCGCTGCCGACCATCTTCCCGCCCCTCTCCCACGCCGGACCGGTGGTGCAGTTGACGAACGTCTCCTCCGTCTTCTTCGCCGCGACGCCGGTCGTCGGTATAAACGCCACTGTTGTTTTGCAGGGACGCGGGTTGTCGCAGGACGACCAGCTCGTGGCAGTTGGGCTTCCCGCGGGGCGAGAGCCGCCCGCCGACATCTGCAGCAACCTGAGCTACACCCCACGCGTCACGGCTGTGCCCTCGACGGCGGGCTACGGCTTTAGCGCGATTGTCTACCAACTGCTGTTCGCGACGCCCAGCACGTACACGCTGTGCTTTCACGCCACAGCGTCCACGGGGCCCATGCTTCCGATCACGACAAACCACTTTAACGTGAATCCCGCGGTGCTGAGTTACACAGTGATGTCCGTGGCGCTGAACAACACGCCACTGGAGTTGGAGTTCCAGGGGAAAGGGCTGCAGGCAAGCGACCAGGCGGCGCTGCTTCAGCTCCCGTCGGTGACGGGCGTCGGCGGTGCGAGCTGCGCGCTTGGGGACTACACGGCGGTGTCGAAGGTCAGCGCGGACGGCACCACCAGCCTCTACATCACGGTGCCCACGCAGCCAGGCAATTACGCGGTCTGCTACCGGAAGCCGTCCTTCACGCCGATCCTGCTGCCGTCCCCTGTCAGCGTCTCGGAGCGAACGGCGACGGGGGCGACCTTCACCGTCCGGCCGGGGTGTGCGGCGTTGGAGACGTGCTCCCCGCAGCCGGTGGTGGCCCTCACGAATGCCGCCGGAGAGCCGACCTCGGACCCCGGAGCCACGGTGGCGATGCACCTACGGCTGGCGGATGGAAAGGCCGCCGATGAGCTTCTCACTGGGGGCACGGTGTACACGCAGAAGAACTACAGTGTGTTTTACTTCTTCGTAGTCGCGGTCTCCACCGCGGGGGAGTACACTATGGAGGCGGAGTTTACTCTGCGCGGCGGCGTGCGGCTGCGGGCCAGCCTGCCGAACCTTGTTGTGGGAAAGGCCGGGGAAAGGCAAGGGTTGGCGGCTGTCTCCTGTGACCCAGTAGGCATTATCGAGCGCCCGCTGCTGGACCTGGGTGAGAGCAAGCCGGCGGCGAATATCACGTGCGTCATCGCGGCAAGGTCGCCTTTGGCCCCCACAGCCTACACTGTGCAGCTCAACGCGGGGCGGAGCACGGATGTCGTGATTGACGCCCACAGCAGCAGTGGCCTCCCGCGGTACAACTTTACCGTCTTTCCGCCGTACGACCAACCTATGATCCAGTTTGTCTCCATCATTACGAGGGCGGCGCCGCCGCTGGAGAGTTGGCCTGTAACGAACTCCCCAGTGATTGTTCGCATTGGCTCGGAGCCTGAGGAGGGCAGCACCTTGTCGTGTGCCTCTGACTCGGCGGACCTGCCATCCAGCACGATGGTCCGATTTAATAGCAGCGTCACCTGCCATGCACAGGGGAGGCGCAGAATCGGTGACGTGGAGGTTAACATTGTGGCCCTGCCCAAGTACATGAAAATTTCCCGCGAATACAACGACGATCAGAGGACGGACAAGGCGGTCGACATTGGCGCCTACCCAGAAAACCTCGACGGGGACTACGAGTTCCACGTGGAGGTCGCCGAGGTGTCGCAGAGCATGTCTGTCCTTGGCTTTGTGCCCACGGCGCAAGGAAGTGGCGTGTACACGCCGATGCAGGGAAGTCCGTCGCGGTTCACGGTGATTGGCGAGCCCCAGCCTGGGGAGTCCAGCCTGGCGTGCGAGTCAGCGGCAACCGGGTCAGAGCTGTGGTTCACGCCGGTGGGGCCCTTCCAGTGCACGCTGTCGCTGCGCGCGGGGGGGATGGCCGTGAATGGGGTGTCGCAGGACTTTTTGGTGACCATGCCGCAGGGAGGCAGCACCCAGCCCATTCCCAGCGACACGTGGGGCCCCACCCTCGCCATTGCGGGGGCGGCGCCGCCGATGGCGCAGAATGCGACGACTCCGGCGGCGGCGTCGCAGCTTTTTAGCGTGGTCGTGGCCTTCACGCCACTCTCGCAAATCATTGCCACCGCCACTGGCACACTTGTGTATGCCACTTCCATAGACGCGAAGAAGGGCGGCGGCGGCAGCGTCGCTCTCATGTTAACGGGCTCTGGGTTGAGTCCGCGCAACAGGTACGGCGTGCGGGCGACGGTGGAGTGTGACAAGGGCGTGGATGCAGAGGCCAGCGTGACGGGCAGCGGCGCCGCTAACACGCAGCTGCAGCTCGTTGCCAAGGCGCCGGCCGATGTTTTTTACCTCTGCTTTGCGCCCAGCGACCAGCACACACGCTGGCAGCTGCTCTCCAACGTGGTGCTGAACCACCACGCCGGCGGTGGTGTGGGTATGTGGACCACGCTGCTCATTGTTGGGGTGGTACTTCTCTTCCTCCTGCTGGTGCTGCTGGTGGTGGTCATCTGGCGGGTCTGCATGCTGAAGCGGCGCGAGGAGCCGCAGGATAATCTCAAGGCCGTGTACCTGCCACCGCGCGCAAACTACCGCTTTCTTCGCCGCGACACGCGTCGGACGCAGCAGCCGCTGCTGCCGGCGCCAAGCCCGCCGTCCTCGTTGCCGACCCCGACGCAGCCGCCCGACGGAGCCGCGGCAGCGCCGAAGACGCGGGGGAACAAGACGCAGCTGCGCATCAACGTCAACGACCGCGACGTCTACTCCGCGGACGTCGCGCTCGACAGAAACGGGAATACGATGGCGCGGCACGTGGGCCCCGCGGAGCTGCAGAAGCCGGAACGCCGTGGGAAGCGTGGACCGGAGCCACGCCCCCCCGTCGTGGACACCGACTCCAGCGAGGACGATATGGCGCGTTTTATTCCGCCCGTCCCGCCGCCGCTGCCGCCACGGGACGACGACCCCGCTCCACTTATTGGGGCCGTTGTGGAACCCACAGAGGCGCACGTGCGGGCGGCGGAAGAAGAGCCCCGCTCCGGGCCGTATCAACACTTGCACCACCCGCGTCAAGAGCAGCCGCCGATGGAGGCGCCGCCGCCCGCCGCGGTGGCGGCAGCACCGACGACCGCCACAGCCCCGGCCGCTGATGAAGGCGGCGGCGAAAACGCGCAGTGGGTGGGACCGTTTCTTGTGCGGGGGCACACCTCCCGGCCGATGGTGAGCCAGCCGCCCGCGGCAAACGGTCACAGCAGGAACGGGGAAGTATAGAGTGCAACGCCACGGCTTCTGCTTTCGTTAGCTGCGGTAGCGACCGTGAATCCAAAGCTAGGCGAAAAAGAAAGGAAATAAATACGAAATAACTTTAACTAAGAAAGAAAAAGGAAGAGACGGATAGAGAGAATGCAGGAAATGAAGGACAACGTATTTTTGACATATGCGTATGCATACATCCAGCGATATATACTACGTTTCTTGCAGGATGCAATCAGGTTCGTTGGCACACTTTTTTTTTTGTACCATTATCAACAACTCCACGTAACTGCGTACGTGTCCCTCCCTCCCTCTATCTGCGTGTATGAGAGGAGGAGGAGGAGGCAAAGACACCGACATAGCGGGGGAACAAAGAAACGATATAATAATAAAAAAGACAGGGAAGAGGAGAGGGGGGGGGGAAAGCTCGGATGGAGTCATGCGGCGGGCAAACCACATCACCGCCGCCTTTGGCCGCCTTTTGCGCTCTTCTTCCTCCTCACCTTCATTTGTCTCCCTTCGTGTTTGCTTTTCTTGTCTGCGCTTTCTGCTTCCGCGGCGGCGGCGGAAGGAGGGAGGAGGGGGTCGACGCGCAACCCCACGCGTCGCGGCAACGGGCCGCCAAAACCCTTCGGGGCGGAGGCGCAACTCGGTAGAGGCCTCCGGATGTCACGGGCGAGTAGATGGGGGCCAGATCTTGAAAAGAAATGAAAAACAACAATGCTAATAACAGTAGAGGCATATTTGTTTTATCGCCGCCTGTTATCTGATGAAGTCTACGTGTTGCTGTTTTTGTTCCTGCTTACTGCTTTGCGGCGAAACCGCACTGGAGGGTAGCACAAGTGTTTTTTTTTGCTTTGTTTTTATTTGTGTTTTTTTGTTGTTGTTCTTGTTGTTTGTTTGTTTTTTTGCGGTTTGTTTTTTGTCCAACCGCCGCCACTACTCACACCACGGCGACTGCTGCTCCCTGACGCGGGGCGGGTAGGTGCTGCGGAGTGTGTTGCTTCCGGACCTCACTGCGAGGGTCCGGTGGTCATAAAACGCCGTTTTGGATGTTGTCTCTCTACGCGCGCCTGCGTGGGAGGGGCGGGGGGTGAAGTCTCTTTAGAATTGAGACGCGGGGCGCCGCACGCCGGGCCCCCACCCCACCCCCATCGCTATTGCGCCTTCTCTCCGTAGGAATACGAGCAACACCGGCCTCACGCTTGGGCCAGTCCTTTTTTCTGACTTTTTTTTTTCCGTTGGCTGCTCCTACTCCCTTTCCGCGTCTGCGTGTGCGCCGCTTCAATGCGTTGATTTTCTTTTTCTTTTCTTTTTTATCTTTTCATGGTGTGTGTGTGTGTGTTCCTTGGGGTTTTGCCCCTGGGCACAGTCGCCAGTCGCTAGTCGCTTTGCCCAGCAAAAAAGGAAGAAGCGGCACCGGATGCGTTCACGCATGCGTGGAAGACAGAGATGCAGGGAAGGCGGCTGCGAAGCCAAGCCGGGAAGAAGGGCGCGAGGCGTGAAACGCGCCATCGTATTCGCCAAGTGAGCTCCGCAGCGAAGTGCACCCCACCACAAACTCACAGCCCCCCTTTTTGCTTCTTGGCGGCGGCCACGGCCCTCTCCCAACACAGACAAAATAGTACTAATGATAAACAATGAGGGCGCGAAGGAAAATACGAGGCCGTTGCGTGCGTCTCTGCGCGTGAGGCGTGGCAGCTCGCTGCTGTTGTGCCCCCTGCTCCGTGACAGCTGAACGGCGAAGAGATTTCTCCGAGGAGAGGCCCATGCCGTCGACGCACCTTCACTTTCCTAACAAAACGGTGTAACGTTGTGCTCAGTATCCGAACAACTCGTGTACGAGTGCCGTTGGCACGAAATCCTTCCCCGCTCCAGTATCCAACGTTGCATGTTAAAGTAATTTTCCGTTAGATCTTTGCTACGCCAACCAAGATCTGCACTAGAGGCTGGTCCATCTGAGGCTCACGCCATCAGCTTCGTCCTTACCTCCACGCCACATCTACATCGGAAGGGCTACACTTTCTCAAGTTTTGCCGCCCTTACCAAAGGAATAATGGGCAATCACTAATTGGGCTTGAGCGTCATCCATTTTCGGGGCCGGTGGATTCGGTTGGTGAGTTGTTACACACTCCTTAGCGGATGCCGACTTCCATGGCCACCGTCCAACTGTCCCTATCCACCAACACCCTTTTCACGTATCGAGAATGAGCCCATAAGTTTTGACGCCACATATCCCTAAGCGGTTCATTCCGCATCGCCTGCTCCGCT